AGTCAGCAATGACTCCAGGGCAGTAGTTTGTTTTTTCTTTTGCTTTGTATATTGGCAACCATTTGAGCAATGGGAGACTGGCTGGTTACTGTTTAAATTGTTTTGATATATTTTAAATTACTTGATATTTAAACAGATAAAAATTTTTTTCAAATCATTTGTCTTTCTTTTTTAACGTACATATTTGAGGAAAAAAACAGACTGTTATTTAGTAAATTTTACACATTTATCCTATTAACAGAAAGTTAAAAGTATACTTGCTATGTTCTCTTCAGAATTTAAGAATTTATTTTTCTCTCCAACATAAAGTTACTCATGCATTGATATGGAGATGATTGCAACAGAAGTATATGATAGTCTAGATCAATTTCCTTAGTAGAATTAACAATCTCAAGAATCTACCACTGTACTTCTTTATACTTATCTAGATTTTTAGTGTGTTTTTTTAAACTATGGAACACCTCATGAATTTGCATGTCATCCTTACACAGGGGCCACGCTCATCTTCTCTGTCTTGTTCCAATTTTAGTATATCTGCTGCCAAAGCGAGCATGATTTTGAGTGTTTTTTAAAGTGCATAATGTATCATTTAGGAGTAAGTTTGGTTATAACAGAGTGACTGACCAAGAGAGAAGTTTCTTTCTCTCCCACATAAAAGAAGGTGAGGTAGGCAGTGGCATGCACTCTGCCTGAGCAGCAGCTGTAGTCACAGGTTGGAATCGCATCTGCACTCACAGGACCCAGGAAGCTTTGTTGGATCCAATCTTGCCAAGCTCCCACACAGTCGTATTAGGCTTGTTTTCAGCAGGAAGAATCTTTCCTCTGGCCACCCAGTCCCATTATGCCTGGGGTCACCTTTAATTGGAGTTCCATGATGGTAGCCATTAGTACATGTTTATGGTAATTTATGATGCTTGTAATTGAAACTAGTATACTTACCTTAGTAAAACATCCCAAATTTCAAGGATTCATCAGAGATGAGTCTAGAATTATTTCAGCTAGTTTAGAGTTTGGTTTTTAATTTAATTCATGCTTGGTCTTGGAATGACTTTGCTGTATTAGGTTTTGCTATCATTGGAAAGCCAACAAAAGGAATAAATTAGGTGAACAAATGTAACCTACAGATGTAAAAACTACTAAGTTCATGTTGTGGTATTAGGAGGAACATTTCTTCAAGGAGTGGTTTCCAACTCAGCATCTTGATAAGCAATAAAAACAAAACCTTCTATATCAAAAGAAGGGATCTCGATAAAAGGACTCAAATCCTCTATCCCCAAGTGCAGTGGTTTCTCTTGCTTGTAACTAAGGTCTGAATTAT